TTATACGACTTCCAGGCGTCATCACTTGGAAACCAGAATGACCCAGGTTTTAAGATCTTAGAATCATCAAGGTAATCCTCTCTCCCCACCTAGCTGATGGGTCACAGTCACCTAGAGGCTGAGAACCACCCGAAATCATGCAACTCGCCACTGCCGTGTTTCTGCCTCCCTCTCGGTCTCTCCTCCGCCCCCACGCCCCGCTCTGGGAAGCCTTTGTTCACCAAGGTCGTCAGGGACATCCCAGCCACAGGCAGCAGAGCTTTACCTTATCTTAGTCCTCCCTGTGGCTCCACTCCCTCTGCTGTCCCTGCCCAGCTTGGCCCTGCCCTCCTGCTGACACCCTGCCCTCCTGCCTCTGGCTCTGCTTCCCATGGTCCCCACCCCCACCCGGGATCTCTCTTCTGCAGCTGTCCCTTTAACTGCCATTTGGATGCTTGGGACAAGTTGTTGTCACCAGCCTGGATATTTCTCTGGAGTACCCCCATGTCCACCCGCCTCGTCTACGCAGGAGCTCAGCACAGCAGTATCTTCTTAAAATATTTTATTTTGAAATAATTTCATACTTATGGAAAGTTTCAAGAATAGTACAAAGAATTCCCTTATACCCTTTACCAAGAATCTTTACTGTTTTAACATTCGCTCCATTTGCTTTCTCCCATCTCTCTGTTCTGTCTTTCACACACATACACACACACACCATATTTTTATTTTTATTAAACCATTTGGAAGTAGGTTACATAATAGTCCTTAACCTTGAGTGCATTTCCTGAGAATAAGAATATTTTGATTCTCCTTATAATTACCAAATTCAGAAATTTAACATTGAGACAAAATGTCTTTTATAGCAATTTTGTTGTTGTTGGTCTTGGTCCAGGATCCCATATTTCATTTAGTTGTCATGTCTCAAGTCTCTAATCTGAACCAGTTCCTCAGTCTTTGTCTAGTATGATGTTGATGTAAGAAATGTAGAGAATTTTTATAGGGGTATTTGAGCCAAACTGATGGCATGTCGTGGAGCAAGGTCTCAAAACTCCAGATAATGAGTTTTGTAGTTTCTTTTATGCATTTGAGATTCAGGAGGGAATACAGGAAGATTACATGGAGGTGGGAGAAAGCAAGGGGGATCGGATTATAGCAGCGATTTTCAACTGATGTGCCCAGTAACTTCTTTTTTATTTATTTATTTATTTATATCCTCACCCGAGGACATTTTTGCATTTTTATCTTGAGATAGAGAGGGAGGGAGAAAGGGAGGGAGAGAGAAATGTTGCCATGAGAGAGACACATGGAGTGGTTACCACCCACACCACCCAACCAGGGCTGGGGACAAACTGCATCCGAGGTACGTGCCCTTAGCGGGGAACCGAACCTGGGTCTCTCTGGTCCGCGGCCGATGCTCTAACCACTGAGCGAAACCGGCCAGGGCTGCAGTGACTTCTAAAACATACACTTGACTATACAGTCAGGGGTACTGACCTCTTTTCCCTTAGATTATTGTTTTAAAAATGACAAGAGCCCTCTCTCTCGGGTCCTCGCTTCCAAGATGACCAAGAAAAGCGGGAACAACGATCGTGCCAAAAAAGACCGTGGCCATGTGCAGCCTATTCGTTACACCAACTGCGCCCAATGTGTGCCCAAGGACAAAGCCATTAAGAAGTTCGTCATTCGGCCTCGGCCGGTTTGGTTCAGCAGTTGGAGCGTCAGCCTGCGGTCCAGAGACCCGGGTTCGGTTCCCGCTAAGGGCATGTACCTTGGTTGCAGTTTGTCCCTGGCCCCGGTTGGGTCATGCGGGAGGCAGCCACTTAATGTGTCCCTTTCACGTTGATGTTTCTCTCTCTCTCTTCCTCTCTCCCTCCCACTCTATCTGAACAAAAAAATGGAAAAATTAAAAAAAGAAGTTTGTCATTCGAAACATAGCAGAGGCCTCAGCCATTAGGGACATTTCCGAAGCAAGTGTCTGACACCTGTGTACTTCCCAAACTGTATGTGACACTACATCACCGTGAGCTGTGCCGTTCACAGCAAGGTAGTCGGGAGTCAGAAGCCCGAAGGCCAGAGCACCCCCACCCCGATTTAGACCTGTGGGTGCTGCCCGACCTCCACCAAAGCCCATGTAAGGAGCTCAGTTCTTAAGGACTGAAGAAAAGTTCTCTGGAAAAAATTAATGGAAATTGTACTTTGAAAAAAATAAAATAAAAACGACAAGAGCCAACACAATAGCTGTCTGGTGTGAATGAATAAATATTATACGTATTTTGTCAGATTTGTGCTGCAGAATTGTAGTTTTATTGCGCCATGAGACGAAAAAGGTTGAATTACAGGATAGCTAAGAACATGTACTCTCTTGAGGGTGGTTTTGCTTGCCAGGGGTATGACTTCTAGCATTTCAAAGGTGTTAACCTGGATGTACAAGAACAATGGACAGGGCTGGCTTAAAAACCTTTCACCAAAGAAATTATAGGCTAGAGATCTGACTACCCACCATGACCTGCCTACTTAGGAATTTATGATCATAGCACTTTTTCATCCACAATATGTTTGAAGTTCTCCATGATTTAAAAAAGTAGTGATCTTATAGAAATCACAAATACACACTTATGACACATTTTTAAAACCCTAATTACAAGAATGAATACTTGGTCTTGGCATCGTTTTTTTTTTATCCTCACCTGAGGACATTTTTCCATTTTTTATTCAGATAGTGCGGGAGGGAGAAACATTGATGTGAAAGGGACACGAGTGGCCACCACCCGCATGACCCAACCAGGGCCGGGGACAAACTGCAGCCAAGGTGTGTGCCCTTAGCGGGAACCGAACCTGGGTCTCTGTGGACCGCAGGCTGACGCTCCACACGCTGAGCAAAACCGGCCAGGACGGCATAGTTTTTTATACATTAACTGTGTCATATTAAATAATTTGAATAAAAGGTGAGTTCACAGAAAGTAGTACATGGTGCAGAAACAGGTGTTGAATTGAAAAACTTGGAAGATTGAGAAAAGCAGCATATCTAAATTAACATTTTGTTTTTTAATATGTACAGATATTAATTCAAGTAGACCGCCACCACCACCACCCACCAAAAAAAAAAAAGTAACCATTTTATGATGATATTTGGCTATTTCTACCATAAAACTGATTTTATGTAGTCAAATTAAATCAAAACTTTTAACTCTTATAGGAATATGGAATCTTTTCTTTGGGAAAATATGCTAATATGGGATGGGTTAAGAGTACAGACATTTGGTGGTGTTTTTTAAATGTTTTTTTTTTTTTTTTATCCTCACCCGAGGACATTTTTCCATCTTTTGTTCAGGTAGAGTGGGAGGGAGAGAGAGGAACAGAGAGAGAGAGAAACATCGATGTGAAAGGAACACATCGAGTGGCTGCCACCCACACAACCGACCAGGGCCGGGGACAAACTGCAACCAAGGCATGCACCCTTAGCGGGAACCGAACCCGGGTCTCTGAGGACCGCAGGCCGGCACTCTAACCGCTGAGCCAAACCGGCCAGGGCTTTTAAATGTTTTTAAAAACGTTTTAATTCTCACTGGAGGATACTCTTCCATTTATCTTCAGATAGAGTAGGAGGGAGGGAGAGAGACACATTGACCAGCTGCCTCCCCCATGACCCCGACCAGGGCTGGGGACAAACCGCAACCAAGGTACCAGAATCGAACCTGAGACTCTCTGGTCTGCGGGTTGATGCTCTAACCACTGAGCCAAATTGGCCCCTCCTTTGGCTTGTTGCTTAATCCGTATGAATTAAGATTTTGTAAAGGAATATCTGTGGTTCTAACAAGCTTTTGCTGTGCCTATTTCATCATGCAAATCAATCTGAATCCATTTGTTTTTGGACTCGGGCATAACTGGAGGTCATTCTGGCTAACCCTGAAGGCCACATGACAGCCCTTTGGCCTCTTGAGGAAGTGTGGCTGCTCCAGCTACTGGCTTAAGTCAAGTGTAGTACCAGAACCTTAAAGGGAAACATAATCCCCTCTGAATCAAGGACTAGGCAGAGAGCATGGGTTCAAGATTGGTTTTATTTTCAGAGCCTGCAACAGTTGGTTAGCAGTGCTAGCCAAGCTGGTACAATCTGAAGGCCATCCCACCTCCCTTTTCAGGCATCCAACCAACAGAATCCCCACAAACAAGATTAGAGACGAACCGAGATGTCTCAATGTGCGTGGGGAGAGAGGTCTTCTTCCTCTCCCCTCCTGTTCCCCACATACTTTTTCTAACAAGATTGTTTTATAGCCAAATGCAACTCAAACCCATTAACACAGCAACCAGTCATCTCCAGTATCACTGGTTCCCTCCCCATCCCCCAAACAGAAAGCCGAGGCAAGTCGGGGACTAACTCTTGTGTATAAGACAAACTTGGCTACACCCCAAGGGAGCACTGATGGTAAGGGAGCTGGCATCTGAGGGTGGGGATGAGCAGGAGCCAAACAGGCCTATCCAGCATCAGTCAAGTCAGCCCCAGCTTTTTAGATGGGAGGCGTTCCTTTGAGACCCCTCCTTCCATGGCATTAGGTGAGGAAGCAACTGGTGATGATGATCCATCACTCCCTGCCCCTCCAATTAAAACATGATAAACTCAGAGAGTTTTACCTTCAAAATCCACCACGCTGCCTGAGAAACAGTCATCGCTACGCCAGCACCCACTCCCTTCTCTTAATGCCCGGGGCTTCCAGCCCCTCCCCACCCTTGGATGGGCCAGCTAACACTGATTTGATACTCCATGACTCATAAAATGACTATTTTTAGAAAAGTAAAAGCTATCAGAGTATCAGAGTAATAGAAGGAAGACACTCAGTGTATACTCCCCTCCCCCATCCCAGAGCCCACCCGTCCCTGTCCTCCCCTACTTTGGGATACCTACACTACCATGTTCCAACACTGACCGGGGGGTCCAATGGGAGCTGCCTGAAGTGCTTTCCTGATTGACTCCTATACCAGCCAACATCACAGGGAACTGGGGCAAGAGCAGGGTCACCCCCCAGGGAGATCTCAGTGGCCTTCGAGGTAGGTCCGGGAGGTTTAGCTTATGCCCTGTAGCCAAAGCCGAGTCCAGTGCCTGCTCCCACCAGTACCTCAGTCTTTGGCTTTAAATAGCAGCAGCCCCAGTACTGCAGTGCCTCCTGGGGGCGACAGAGCTAGTCTGTCCCACACTCGCATGTTGCCTCTTCTTCCTCCCTCTTTTTTTTTTCCTTAATTAAAAGCAGAGGTAGTCCTTGGGATGATAAAATAGCAGTATTGTGACTTAAAGAAGCAGTTAAAATAAAGTCTCCAGGAGGTAAAAAAAAATAAAAATAAAAATAAAGTGATTGATGAGGTCGAATAAATTAAAGATATGGGTTATCTCACAAAGACCACTTCCTTCCCAGACTGTCTTTGGTATTTGGCCAGCAGCATTTCCATCGTCTTACTTCTCTCCATGCCCTTTCCTACCCCTCCCCTCAGAGGGGACAAGTGCCCAGTAGTGCCCCTGGTGGTCCCTCCAGGTGCAGGGATGAAGAGGCAGAACTTGTCTTGACTGGGTGCTCTAACTGGGCACATGACAGCCTTAGGAGACAGTCCCGATGCAGGGCCGGACAAGATGTAGCCAGCAGGATGCTCTGGGTTCCAACCTCAGGAGTGTGGCAGGGAAGGTTTAAGGAAGGAAGCCGCGGGCCTTCGCTCCAAACATCACACAGCTGGCCCCTTTGCTCAAGTTTCTCTGCAGCAAAGAGGGGAGGGGTGGAGGCCCTGGCTGCTGCTGCTGCCCGCCCGGCCCCTCAGAGCTTCTTCAGGCGGCTGTACATCTCCCGCTTGCTCTTTTCCCCTGCCCAGGTCCGGCTCTTGGTGCGGAACTTCTTCAGGTCTTCTTTAAAGTCCTCATGGTGCATGGGCCGGTAGCTGGGAGGCTCACAGTAAGACTGAGGGACAAGAGTGGGAGAGGTCAGAGTACATTTGTCTCACTCCTAATCCTGTTCCCTCCCCCTCCCTGGGGCTGTGAGACTGAGCAGCAAGGCAAACCTGGTCAGTGGGTTCTAAGCCCTCTTGTGCCGGGCAAATCCCCAGACACCTGACAAAACAGCCAGGACCATCAGACAGATCCAACTGTCCAACCTGAGCAAGGGGTGGTCCATGCTCCCCAGAGAGCCCATCTCACCTGGCATTTCAGAAAAAATTCCTTGTATCCACCCTTCAGGACATACAGCTCAGGGTAGTGGAGTTTGGGGTACTCGTTACCCAGCCGATCTCTCTCTCTCACGTAGCGGCACCTAGAGGAGCAGGAAGGCACAGCACGGTTAGCACTTCCTACGCAAAGAAACTGAAGTCCTCCATGTCACAAAAGCACTGCTTGGTGTTCAGTTGTGAGTTCCTGGCCACGTGTAATCTTTAGAAATAGTGTCACAGCCAGTATCACTGCCTTGCATTGGAAGGCGGAAGGTCTGCCCCAAATTCCTTTCTCCAAGTTAAATGCCCTAGCACCTGACCCCTGCCTGGCATCCTCCCTGCCAGGATGCGCAGCTCACTGCAGTGACAGTCTTGAGCCAGCTGCCCACTCACTCTCCACCCTTGCCATGTCCTTAGCCTCCTCCTTGGCCGCATGTCACTTCGTCTACTATGCAAGGGGCCTCTTCTTGTGGCTTCTACACAGGCCGAGCGACCTCAGTGCACCGATTTGCATCCTATGCCTGGACTGAATACTACATGTTCTCCCCTGATGTCCTTACCTGACTGGTGACTCCTTACTGTCCAACCCAAAAGCCAAAGTCCTTACAGTGGCCTACACTTTGTCACCCCCGCCTCCTACCCTCCCCACCTCACTCTCCGCCCCAGCACTGTGGCCCCCTTGCTGTTCCTCCAGCCTGCTCAGGAGCTCCCACTTCTGGCCTTATTTTCCTCAGAAGCACCTTCTAACATATTACATAGTTTATATATTTCATGATGTTGACCTGCCTCCTGCTGATTCTGAAATGGAAGCTCCTTAAAGATAGGGGCTATTTTGTTCACTGCTACTCTCCCAGTACCTGGAACAGTATCTGGCACACAAGAAGTAACAGTAAGTATCTGAAGAGTAAATAATTCCACTGGGGAATGAGCGTTAGGTCTTGTTCAAACCCCATGTGATCATGGTATTCAACTAGTGCACAAAAGGTCCTGGGAGACAGCTGCTGAGACTTAGGAAGCTGGTCACATATGCCAGGTTCCTGTTGTAGAGTTGTGTGTGTGCAAATGCAAAACATTAGTGACTTATGAGATCAAGTGAAGCATGTGCAGGGATAGCTTTTTCAAACTCTGAAATGGTTCAGAAAAAGGGAGCCCAAGAACGTCGCAACAGAAGTCTCTCCTGGACCATCCTAGCTGAAGCTGCACGCCCCCCTGCTCGTTTCTCCAACTATCCGCCAGCACTTGTCATGTCATCTGGTCTCTCTGCTGAGACATCCCCTGCAGCAGCCCCCCCATCAGACCTGCTCACTGCTATACCTTTCACTGCCTCAACAGTATTCCAGGCTTGCAGTCCTTTCTGAAGGGACATGGATGATGGCCGAGCAGCTGTCTAACCCCTCCCCTCGCTTTTCAATATCATTATTCACTCCTGACCATTTTCAGCACCAGTCCTGTTACCACTAGTGAGAGTGTGGAGGAAGCTGTTAGAACATCAGAATGTTACTTTAAATCTTAAGTGAAAGTTGTTTTATTGTAATTACACTTTCACCTATTTTGGCATAAAATATATCTGTGGGTAATAACAGGGCCTTAGACACCAAAGCCCCAACAGAAGCTTGTGCTAAGCGGTATATTTGGGGAGCATTTCTTTTTGCCCCTAATGTAGCAATAACATGAGTATACAACCCACTCCTTTGCAAACATGGATTTGACAAGTGTTTGGAAGCATCACATCAAGTTTCACAGTGAGGGCTTCACACTTTTCTGGCATTCACATAAAGAGTTGCCACATTGTACTTGAAGGATGTCACCTGAGAACAGTAGCCCCACTGGTAGAACTAAGGACAGTGGGGGAAACAGGAGGGGCAAGAGTTTAACTCCATACAAAGGAAACTTAAACAGTGAGCCATGCCTAACAGTGGCAAGGACTAACTCAGGAGTGGGGGTGATGACACAGGCAGAGATCAGACCCCCAGAGGACAGTGCATGCTACTGGCATCATAGAGAGGCTGGACAAGAGAAGCCCACAAGCCCTTTGCAACTGAACCTGTTAGGTCAAGCCTATTAACTCCACTCAAGGAAGCTGTTCATGACATCAAGCAACTGCTAAGCAGCGAAGAATTTCAGAAAACATCTGCTACATGTGAATTTATGCTTTCACAACACCATGTATTCACATGCCAGGGTGCAGGCCAAGGCCCGGAAACAGCCTGTTAGTTTTTTTTTGTTTTTGTTTTTGCATTTATCTTCAGATAGAGAGGGAGGGAGAGATAGAGGAAGAGAGAGAGATAAACAAACATCGACGTGAGAAAGACACATCAACTGGCTGCCACCCACACAACCCCAACCAGGGCCGGGGACAAACTGCAACCAAGGTATGTACCCTTAGCAGTAACAGAACCGAACCCGGGACTCTCTGGTCCGCGGGCCAGTGCTCTAACCACTGAGAAAAACTGGCCAGGGCCAGCTTGTGTTTTATAATAGAACGCTCTAAGGGTGAGCCACACGCCATGTCCCACAGGGCTCCAGTTCTGTGCACTCACATGCGAGGGCCTCGCTCAGAAGAAAACTCGCAGTGGAACACCACGATGACGCGCTTGCCGTCAGTAGGCACGATGGGCTTCTTGAGTAAGAAGTCTTCAACCTCCTCCTCCATGTGCAAGTTCACCGCACCCTGTGAAGGCACCACAGACTCAGCACCCACACCTCACACTTGCAGTAATGATTCTACAAGAATTTTCAATGGGTACCTCAAATTCTGTTATGACTATGCATACTTTTTGAGTGTTATTTGTGGATTTGGGGACTTCAAAAGCCACAAGACAGTGGCCAACACTAACAGTATACTTAAAGTACCTCCTTACTATATATATTTCAACACGATTTTATTGGTTAAAAGATTAAAATGCACAAGCAGTTACATTCTTCCTGGGAAAGTATGCCCCAACACCCCTTTCCACCAGACAGCTTGACTCAACAGTGTTGACAGAAAGCCCTGGGGTCTTCAGGCCTGGCTTAGACATCAGTGGGCACCACCTAGAAATGCCCTTGCTGGTGATGGTGTGAGGGCCAGAACAAGGAGCATTTGCTGTACAATGTGGCAGAAAACAGCACAGACCAGGGAACAATTCTTCAGTACACCAGGAGTCATATACTTTCCCCATAGGTGTCTTAATGATCACCAACCAGCCTGTGAGCTAATAAACACCTAGGTGTCACCACCGCCCTTTTAAAAAGTCACAGATGCTGTCTAGAGTTTCTTTTCTGCCTCCCACTATAGCAGTGCTCACCAGCAAGTCTCAAAAACCCATACCTTGATGTGGCCTCCCTCATATTCATATGGGTATCGGCAGTCGATGATAACAAACTCTTTAATAAGGTTGGCAAACTTGCCATTTAAAACAGATGCCATCTGTGGAGAGAAAGACCAGGAGAATCAGTGTGGACTGCCAGAAACAACTAGATTCAACTATTCCACGTGAGGCAGGTTGCAAAAGGATGACTTACAATTTCTGGAGAGATATATTTTAAATCCTGATGCTTCCCAGCAACTGTATGAAAGAGATAAGCCTTAAAAAAAGAAAAGAAAAAAGAGATAGACACTTAGCAAATATGAAAGCCTATATATACAACATTTATATCGCTTATCTGCCTGGTAAGAGGCAGCTTTAAAAAAAACCAATTTAATAGTTCATGTTATTTACTCGTCTGGGCACTTTATTAGTATCAGGGCATTTAATTTTTGCACAAATCTATTACCCCCATTTACTGTACTAATTTCCTGAATACCTATTATACCCAGCATAGTGCTAGGCACTGGAGATAGAACATAAAAATAAGACCTGGCTTGGTGAGGGGGAAAATGGGCACATTAGCAATTCCTCATTAGGGCAAGTGCCCGAGTGAAGAACTCACAAATCCCTGTGGCCACATACAGGGTCATTATGACAACCAACCAACAGCTTCAATTCAAGTGGAAGGCTCCACAAGCAAGGACACACCCAGATCTTTGCTTGTTCCTACCCTTGGACTGTCACTGTCTCCTATTTTTTAACCCGCTTATGTCTCCCTGTTCCTTCAACACCCCCGGGCCCCGCTGAAATATCATCAGCCCAGATGCAATCTGCTAACTGAGACAACAACCCCCCTCAATTTCTCTTAGCCTGAAATGTATTTCAAGTATATGCAATCTACTGTGTGGTACATGGGGTTCATGTCTACGTATTTTGACAGATTTTTTTGAGGAAAGGAACTTGGTCTTATTATGGAATCTTTGCCTAGCACATAATAATTATGAGCTTCAATGACTGTTAGCTAAATTAACGAACAACAGGTCGATCTGGTAACCTTCAGTCATGTGGCTAAGTAAGCTGCTGCTGCTGACATATTCTCTGCCCCACCCCTCAAATTTCACCCCTGCTCAAAGGCGGCCACCTCTTCTCCAAAGGAATCTGTATCGGGCTTCCCTGGGGACCTTTACCCTCAAAGGCCATGGAGAATTTGTTTCAATCCTGGACGTTCTAAGATAACCTTCTGATACAGAATTGTAGTGAGGTTATAGATTTGTGCTTATTTATACTTTTTAGCATTTCTATTTTTTTATTTTCAAAATTTTTAACCCTCACCCGAGGCTATTTTTCTATTTAACTTTAGATAGAGTGGGAAGGAGGGAGGGAGGGAGGGGTTGAGAGAGAGAGAAAGATTGATGTGAGAGAGATACATCGACTGGCTGCCTCCCGAACAACCCCAGGGCCAGGGACGAACCTCAGCCAACATACGTGCCCTTGACCGTAATCAAACGCGCGACTCTTTGGTCTGCGGGCAGACGCTCTAGCCACTAAGCAAACGCGATCAGGGCTGCATTTCTATTTTTATAATCAGAAACAGAGGTGGCTGGTGAGCGGTTTCTTAGTTAAAATCTCTGATCAGCCCAGTAAGGTCTACAGTTCCACAGAGACCAAATAGATCATGAGTTTGTTTCCTTACCTTTAAGGTTTTCAAACTATGTCCCCTTGGGGACACCCCAGGAGCCACCTTAGAGAGGGAAGAGGGCTGAGGGGGGTTCTAGATAATCCCCATCTACACTGCATCACATAGCTAGAGGCATGCATCTGCTTGCAATTACCTTGGAGAAGTCTCCTATAAGGTCCCTTGGGTCATTATCCAAAATATTCTCAATGGTTCCTTTGGGGGAAGATACCAGGGATAAAGACTGATGTAGAATCTGTAACAAATCAAAGGTGGAAATGAGGCCAGGATTCCAAACAGGACTTTTGAAAACATTCACTTGGAACATGTCACAAGGAGACTGAAATGTTAATGTTTATATTTAACAAGTAAAGATTTTTCATATTTGATTGAATCCAGAGTGAAAAAAAAAAAAGGGTTACTGACTAGGACTGTTATTTGAGTGTCTAACTGAATTTCTTTGAAACTGAGTTTTCCTCCCTGCCCCAATAAAGCAGGATTAAAAGGATAAGTCTAGAAAAGTACTTCTTACCTCTATCCACTGAGAAGCTCTAGGGGTGCCATGAGCACCCCTAGGACAGTGTGGTCTCTAAATACAATTTACCACTAAGAGAAAGCAGGGCTTTTTGAAAATGTAATTGACTCCAGGTTGGGACAAAGGAGCCATCAGATTTCTAACAGCATGTCAAGGGCTAATCATGGGAGATAAGAATTTCTTAGGCATTAAACATAAAATTTAAAAGTTGATAAATTGAAATACATTTAGCAATCAAGAAATTCTGTTCATCACAAGAACATAAAGAAAAAGAATAAGAAAAAAGGCAAGGCCAAGTGGGAAGATATACATTGATCCATAGAAAATGTCATTTCTCAATATATATAGTACTCCTACAAAATAGACAACTCAATAGAAAAATGGGCAAAAAACTTGGAAAAGCAATAGAGAGAGGAAAATCTAAGACCAAGAAAAATGCTTATCAGAGAAATGGAAATTAAAACCACAGATTTTATACACTCACCAAAATGGTTAAATTTAAAGAGATGGACAACTCCAAATACTATAGTAAGGATGTTGAAGAAATGAAACTCTCATACATTGTTGTGAGCACAACCACTTGGGAAAACCATCCAGCAATATGTACTAGAGCTAAACACACGATTAGCCTAATATTAGCATTTCCATGAAAAATTAAAGTGTATGCTTATTTAAAAAGTTGTTCAGCCCTGGCCAGTTTGGCTCAGCAGTTAGAGTGTTGGCCTGCGGTCCAGAGAAACCCGGGTTCGGTCCCCGCTAAGAGCACGTACCTCAGTTGCGGTTTGTCCCTGGCACTGATTGGGTTGTGTGGGTGGCAACCACTCGATGTGTCCCTTTCACGTCATTGCTTCTTTCTCTCTCTCTCCCTCCCACTCTATCTGAACAAAGTATCAAAAAATGTCCTCGGGTGAGGATAAAAAAAAAAAAAAAAATCACTTGTCAGACCAAGAACCAGAGAAATCTCAACTTGAATAGGAAAATCTCAGTTGCAATAATCTGGAAAAGATTTTAAAACCGCCATCATAAAAATGCTTCAAGAGTCAATTACAAACACGCTTGAAACAAAAAACAAAAGGCAAGTCTCAGCAAAGAAAAAGAACCCAACAGAAATTTTAGAACTGAAAAATACAGTAATGCTGTCCTTGAGCAAAACAGAACCTGCAAAACTAACCTCTTGTGGCTTCTCTGGACTAGCTGCCTCTTCGGGACCTGCCCAAACCATATTCTTCCTCCGCTTGGTGTTTCCGGGTGGGGACTCCTCTCTAAATCGTTCTGGTCTTTTCAACATGGATCTCAAGGCAGAGCTACACGGGGAAGTGGAGTCAAACTGCTTGCATCGATTGCCCTTTGGGAAAATACACAAAACCTCAATTATTACAGGTAATATACTCTTAGTACCCTTAAGCTCCAAAATAACACTAACTGAACTCCATGTGGCCAATACCTAGAAATAAAATAGAATCTTTGAATACAAAACAGAGATAAAGCAGCGTTCCAAACGTTTGGCAGACGTTGTATGCAAATGTTGAAAAACTTGGACAAAAAGTCCAACAGACCTCAGGATAAAAATAGCCAGCTCCCCACCTTGCAAACAGCAGACCGAGGAGCTGAGAGTGCCCATGTGGGTGTGTGCTCCTCGGCGGCTTCTGGGGGAGATGCTGTGTTTTGAGGCTAACCAGGGCCTGCTAAGGTGCCATCAATCACTGTCTCTTGGGAGGAACCTCAAGCTGCTATTTGGTTCCCCTTCTCCAACATCCCTTCCTGGATGACCACCCAGCCTTCCCTTCCCATACATGTGTAGTACACTCTGACTTTTCATGCCTTAACTCATCTTTCTGACTCAAAATGACCAGCCACAGGAACTGTGCTAGCTCATGCAGTGGCCCGCTCATAACTCTGCTAAAGTCTTGAAGTCCTAAAACCAGTGTTTTTTCTGCATTAAGAACAAGACTAGCCAGACTGGTGTGGCTCAGCAGTTGAGTGTCAACCTATGCACCAAAAGGTCACTGGTTCGATTCCTGGGTTGCAGGCTCAATCCCCAGTAGAGGGCGTGCAGGAGGAAGCCAATCAATGGCGATGCTTCTCTCATAGATGTTTCTTTCCCTCTCCCTTCCTCTCAAAAAAAAATCCAATAAAAAACATTAAAGGAAAAAGAAAAAAAAAAGACTAATTCCTCTCCTAATGAAGCCCTCTGTCCCAATTTTTCAACAATCCACAATATCAATCATAGTTTTGAGTCTCCTTATTCTATTGGTTGTTCTCTGAATGTGCTCTAGTCTTTCCACATTCTCTCAACTGTGGGAAATAAAACATGGCAATCCAGCATATTCTCTCCATCCCAATCAGAATAGGGTAAGGCTAGCATCTTCTTTTTTTTATTCTGGGCTAGGGTTCTCCAGTCAACACTCATGGGGAAGAGTGGCTGGGTCTGCTGCAGGACCACCGCTGGGTTGAGTGGGTATGGATGGATGGTGCCTATAGTGGAAGTCTATTTCGATTCATGCTGACTAGGATCCTTTTCTTTTTGTCAGCTACAAATTGCTCACTCATAAAACTTCCAATTAAAATCTAAGCCAATACCATCTTAAGTTGTTTAAGAATAATTTAATTTCGGCCGTGGCCGGTTTGGCTCAGCGGTTAGAGCGTCAGCCTGCGGTCCAGAGAGACCCAGGTTCGGTTCCCGCTAAGGGCACGTACCTCGGTTGCAGTTTGTCCCCGGCCCTGGATGGGTCATGTGGGTGGCAACCACTCGATGTGTCCCTTTCACATCGATGTTTCTCTCTTTCTCTCTCTCTCTCCCACTCTATCTGAACAACAAAAAAAAGCCCTGGCCGGTTTGGCTCAGCGGTTGGAGCGTCGGCCTGCGGTACAGAGAGACCCGGGTTCGGTTCCCGCTAAGGGCACGTACCTCGGTTGCAGTTTGTCCCCGGCCCTGGTTGGTCGTGCAGGTGGCAGCCACTCGATGTGTCCCTTCACATCAATGTTTCTCTCTCTCTCTCTCTCTCTCTCTCCCTCTCTCTCTCCCTCCCGCTCTATCTGAACAAAAAATGGAAAAACGTCCTCGGGTGAGGATAAAAAAAAAAAAAAAAAAAAAGAATAATTTAATTTCTTAAATTCAATTTAACAGATATTTTCCAGTGATCTTAAGCCAGAGTTAATAGAGGTCAGCTGTACAGAAAAGATATTAGCTGACCAAGAATGGTTAGAATGAACTAGAAATTATAAAAACAAGAACTGTAAGCATATATGTAATCTAGACTTCCTCATGCATCAATGACAAAAATGTTGAAAAAACAGCATGCATTAACACGAGGAAACACTAGTGACCAGTCAAGGCCCATAGACCCAAAGAGAATCTCAAATAAAACAATTTTTTATTCCTGCAGTGATGTGAACAGAAGGGTTAGTTTTCTGTTTAGTTTAGTCCACCTTTGTCTCAGAAGCCCAATTACTCAAGCCTCCCTCCAGATACTTACAACGTTTGTAGTTCTTTTCATGACAAGGGGAGCTGTCCACAGGCTTGCCATGCAGGACGAGGTCTCCTCATCATTCTAAAGAAAGAGAAAAATGTGTTACAAAGATCCAGTAGAGAGTAGCATTCATTTAAATACTTTAGGTGTGATTTTGCCTGAAGAATACCAGACAGGCCTAAACAGATAGCATCTAATGTTTGTTTTTCTTCCCCACTCCCCAAAATTTTAAGGTCAGAAGAGAATCATATTTTATGGTTCAGTCACCTGAACACAGCTAGAAACATTCCCCCCATCTATATGGGAGGAGGTATCCTCCGTCTCTTCAGCTTTATGCCATGTGGCTGCTAGTCCTCCATTTTCATACCTCTTGCACAAAAATAGATTGTGAGCGCCTTCAGGTTAAGAAGGATCATGTCAGTGTCTTCTTTAAAAAAATAAAAATCTTTTTTCTTTATTGATTTACAGAGGAAGGGAGAGAGAGATGGAAACATCACGAGAGAGAATATCGATTGGTCACCTCTTGCATGCTACCCATTGGGGACTGGGCCCACAACCTGGGCATGTACCCTGACCAGCAACCTCTTGGTACATGGGTCGATGTTCAATCACTGAGCCATACCGGCCAGGCTCAGTGTCTTCGTTTGAAGTCCCCTACAGGATTTAATCTATAAGGACAGTCTCAAATTCTCACCAAATGAACAAAACTATCAGCTAATTCAAGCCCTGGGGAACTGCTGCACTTTTTCACGTGACTTCTCCAGGGGTAGATAGTGGAACAGATAGGGAAACACACAGTACCTTCATATTCTCTCCATCAAGAAGGTCCATGAAGCCATCATCTTCATCAGACAAAGTGGCAGTCACAGGTGACTGGGGCATAAAATGAGGAACGAAATTCCCTGGTTCACTGTTATCTCTTTCATTTGAGGAAAGCTACAAGACAGAATTCATGCCTTGTTAAATAAATTTCTTTGGATGGGTCATTAGTTTTGTTACAAGAAGTAAAATGTTAGCAGTTATTAATCAAAGGAATATGAATCCCAAGGTTATAAATGATTTGATGTCCACACAGTACTAAATAGTCAGGCCAAGTAACCATCACAAAGAATCCTTCCCAGAAGCAATTCACCTGACAGTGGGACCTGGTGATAACCTTTTGTGAAAGACAAGGAGTGTAACACAGATCAACACGAGGGTTGTGACAATATCATAATCTGCCAAAATGAGGAAGGGTGGGAAGATACAAGTCTCCATGGACACCACAAATGGCAAATGCCCTAGAGAATGCTTCTGTTAACTCCAGTTCTTTTTTTTTTTTAATCCTCACCCAAGAAAAAATCTATCCATTTTTTCTTCAGGTAGAGTGGGAGAGAGAGAGAACACATCGACATGAAAGGGACACATTGAGTGGCTGCCACCCGCATGACCCACCAGGGCCGGGAACAAACTGCAACCGAAGTACGTGCCCTTAGCAGGAACCAAACCCGGGTCTCTCTGGACTGCAGGCCAAAGCTCTAACCGCTGAGCCAAACCGGCCATAGCTATTAACTCCAGTTCTGACAGAGGGAAGTAAAGAATGACATGGTTCTAGAAAAATCTATCCCAGTTCTTTATATTTGGAATTGAAATGACAGCTACTCAGTTTTTAACGGAGGAATTACTGTGTGGCCAGACATGGTGACATAATCTTTACATGTAGATTCCCATTTAAATCTCCCAACACACTAAGGGTGATTTTTTTTTTTTTTATTGAAATAAAAATTTTTTTCTTTATTGATTTTTTAGAGGAAGATAGATAGAAACATTGATGACAGAGAACATCAATTGGGCACCTCCTGCATGCCCCCATTGGGGATTTGGCTCATAGCCTGGGCATGTGCCCTGACCGGGAATCAAACTGGTGACCTCTTGGTGCATGGGTCAATGCTCAACCACTGAGCCACACTGGGTGGGCAGTGCTTTTCTTTTAACAAATCAGAAAACCAATGCTTATGCAAGATCACAGAGCTCACCTGTTCTAACTCTAAAGCCCAAGCTTTTCTACCCATTACACTCTCCCTAGGAGAGAGACCATCCTTGGAATAAAAATGAGGGCATCCCCATTATTCAACTAGTATATATTTAATATAGGAAATATAAAACACTCAAATAAATAAAAGAAAAAGAAAATATAAACCACTCATGAATCTACCATCTAGAGATAGACAATGCCCAGCCTGAGTTGCTCAGCTGGTTGAGTGGCATCCTGTGCACCAAGGGGTTGCCAGTTCAATTCCGCATCAGGGCGCATGCGAAAGACAACCAATCGAAGTTTCTGTCTTCCTTCCTCTCTCTAAGCATGTCCTTGGGTGGAGATATATAGATATATATATTTAGAGAGAGAGAGAAACAGCTAATACAAGCATTGCTGACACTTTATTATTTGCTTCCCACATGCTTTCCAAAGCCAGGGAATGCTGCAGATATATATATTTGTCCCCCCACAGTAACAAGTGGTCCCCACATAAGTCCTACAAATATCTTAAAGACCCAAATCCCTTTGGGGCACGAGTACACTGATCCTCAAGTGGCACCGAGTGGCTCACTTGCCTAGGCATCCTCTCTTGTAGCAGGCCTGCTCTGGTTCTGGCATTAGCTTTGCTTCTCAACATAAAACAAGTTCTGGGCTCTCTTTTATCTTCCACAGGTGTATCTGAACACCCCCTGGGCATACTGGCAGTTTTTTACCCAGCAGAACATAGGGATAGGCAACTATCATGGGAAACACCCTCTGAATGCTCACATATGGTATAATACCAGCTTTTTTTTTAAACCCTCACCCAAGGATATTTTCCCATTTATTTTCAGACAGAGTGGGAGGGAGAGAGAGAGAAAGAGAAACATCGATGTGAGAGACACATCAATTGGCTGCCTCCTACACAACCCTGACCAGGGCTGGGGACTGAACCACAACTGAGGTACGTGTCCTTGACTTGAATCAAACCCACGACTCTTTAGTCTGCAGGTCAACGCTCTAACCACTGACCGCTCTAAAAACTGGCCAGGGCTAATACCAGCTTTTATGAACTAGGTTCTTGAATCTCTAGGTGCAAATGTGCTATAGAATTTGACATCTCTGAACAAATCATCTTTTCTCCATGATTCTTACACCAAGATGCCATTATGAGGAAAGATAGATGGTGCTTGGAGGCTAAAAGAAAGGATACAAAAGAAATACCTTCTGACATGAGCAAAAACCACACCAGTGAGATAAGCACTGGCGTTCTGTCAGTTTACATCCTCAGTAGCTACAATTAGGGATGGCCAAGTGATCATGGGAAATGCTGGCTTCAAACATGAACACACTAAACATACTTAGTTTGGATACCCAGCTATCAAAGGGTGACTGTGTACCTACTTGGGAGTCAGGGGTTTTGTTAAATTCTGGTCTTCTGTTCATCTGTGTCCCTTGGCAAATCACCTAACCTCCCTGTTCACTTTCCCAATCTGTAAGTGGGTAAGTCTAGCTACTTCACAGGCTTGTGATTAAAGATAAGAAAACAGGCATGAGCCCTGGCCATTGTGGCTCAGTTTGTTGAGCATTGTCCCATGCACCAAAAGTCCCCGGTTTGATTCCAGGTCAAGGCACATATCCAGGTTGAGGTTTCAGTCCTCAGTCAGGGTGCATGCAGGAGGCAGCCCATCGCTATTTCTCTCTCCCTCCCTTCCCCTCTCTAAAATCAATAAAAACACATTTTAAAAAAAGAAAACAGGCACAGCACTCTTTCCCCCTCAAGCTGGCCTGTGCCTTTCTCTCTCCTAAGCTCCAAGGGCCCTTCTTTTCTGCCTCTGTAACTTGTTTCCTGAGCCCACACAGCCCAGTTGGCCCACTTCTACTACCCTTCTGTAACTTTCTAAATAAACTTTCTCTTATAATTTGAAGGAAAACACACACACACACACACACACACACACACACACACAGACTGCTTTGTGCTAATCTAGATATAATGCTGGCTGAACCCATACCCTTGACTACAAAGCAGTCTGGAGAGTTGTATTTTCATTCGCACGTTTCCAGGAGAACCTGGGAACCAAATGTGGTCATTTTGCTCGAGTTGAGCTTCTCTAGTCTATAGCTGTCAGATCACAAGTAGAAAACTTTGGAAGTAATAACATTCTCTGCCTGACAAATAATCCTGGAACAAGTGGCCCCAATTACTATCAAGTAGCCCAGACAATGGGTTCCCTGAAATACACAATAGTTCTCAATAAAACATCTTTGGAAGAAGCTAAATGTTCTCTCCAAAAATCAGTCTGGGAAGTACCTCTTTGAATTCAGGATGCGTTGTGAAAGAGCAAGTTTTAAGTAAGACATATAATCCCAACACACATAGAATAACAACCCAGGATGCCTACAGATTATTTTCCCAGAACTGACTAGGTCAAATATTCTTTGCTCAAATCCAGTATTTCAAACATACTCTCACACTGCTTCTGCCTGTCTGCTCTCCAGACACAGCAAAAACACCAAAAATGTGACCATCTAGTTTCGAAAGACAAAGTCAAAGTAAAGACATCAAGATCTACTATAGTGTCTTCAATTCCAGGTTAAAGGTGCTTTCATTCTCTTCCCATCAGAAACTTCCCTATGAAAGCCAGAGCACATACCATCCGAGCTGGGGCAGAGCTCTGCCTCTGTGTGAAGAGATCTTTACCCTCCTCAAGTCGCAGGCAGCCACGAGACGCAGGTCTTATTGGCTTCTTAAACTCAAAGGCTTCCTGCAAGACAGTATAGTCGAGACATCTTCCGCGGTCTATGGAAACCAGCTCTAGGGTCTCAGCTATAGCCCAGGTGACACAGGCAAGGGAGTGGACATTGATCACCTTTGTAAATGTCTCCAAACTAAGGATTTACGCATTTCTGACTTAACTACAACACTGCATCTGTACAACTAATAATTTCAAAGACTATTAACCGCTAACTTCCAATACAGGATTTTTCTCACCACACTGTATTTCCTAACAAGCATGTATCTGCCAAGCACACAAAACACTGAGTTATAAGCTAAATCAACAATTTTGTAAAATCTAAAGCAAAATCATTTCAATATGCATGCGAATGGGAGCCAAAGCTTTTTCTCTCTACAACTGAGGACTTTATATTTTCCTCTTCTTCCTCCCAATAGGAGATCATTTTGTTCCACTTACAATTATTGCATTCCATACAATGGGGAAACAAAACAAAACAACAGTGTACTCTACAACATGGACGAACCTCACAAAATGTTGAGTGAAAGAAGTCAGGAGTGTTAGAACTCACACTGCACAATTCCATATTCTTCAAGTTTGAAAGCACTCATAGTCCTCCTACCCTAAAATACATGCTTAAGAACTTGTTAAGTGCTCAGAGAAGTAACAGCTAATATCAGAGTACTTATATGCTGACACAGGACTAAATACTTTCTGTGCATTAGCTCATTAGCCATCAACTACAACCCAATCGTCCCCATTTTTTAACAGATGAGGAAACTAAGCCTTACAGGCTGTGATGTGCCTAAGATCTGGCTTCACAGCCAGACAGGACAACTCCAGAGTGAGAGCTCTTTAACATATGCCGTTTCCCCTCCAGAACAAAGCCCCAAGCAGGCAACCCTGGGAGAAACCAAATTTGGGGATGGGGGGACGACACAGACCAGGCATGGGTACAGGTGTAGACTGGTAGAAAGCCACTACACAGAGGCTGAGGTACTCTTATGCATTCAAGGCAGGAACTCATTTTTATATTCTCCCTCAGGATATCTTGCAAGTTGCCAAAGGAATCATTGAGAAAGTTCATGGAAACAGGTTTTATACTAAGTCTGGAGATTATACGAATTATGAACAGTGGCATTTTAGCAGGAAATGGAAAAGGGGAGAAAATAGATGTGGAAATATAGTAAGAAGAATGGAAAAGTTGAGCCAATTCATTATTATTTTGGATGCCTACCCTGTGCAAGGCACCCTGCCAGGTGTGAGAGAAAAGCCAGGGCAAAGTGTTCTTGGACTTTTGGATGGACAACTGCAAGCTCATCCTCTCATTTCAGTTACTCTGAAATTCCCCGGGACTTGGCAGCTCTATTCTTTCAAATACTGTCAAGTAGAAGTAGCTTTTTCCTAAACTCATAACTCATCCCAGGGTTAGTGTGCAAAGAGGGAAGGAAGGCCTGGGCAGACCCTTCCGGATTAACTATCCATGGTTGTAATTACTCCTAAGAGCTAAGATCAGAGCAACTCCAACCAACCAGGAACCATTTGAAATGCTTTATCTGGATTATCTCACTTAATTCCCACAACAGCCCTACACGGGACTGCTATTCCTATTTTACACACAAAGAAAAGCAGCCTAAAAAAAGAAATAACTTGCCAAGGGCTCAAAGCTTACAGCAGGATTCAAATCCAGGTTTCTCTGATTCCAAAGACCACCATGACTTTGGTAAAAGTTTAGTCTCCCAGAAAGCAGCCCAGCCACTCCAGTGGCACTTGTGGGCTTTACTTCTGCTCTAAGTTAGTACATTGATACAACACTCACATTCTCCTTATTCTCATCCTGGTCCATCAGCTGAAAGACATCATGGTTAAGAGAATCAGAATGGCTCCTCTTCAGAGCTGGACTACACCCCAAGAGCTTGAGCTATCAAAGTGAAAAAAGGAATTAAGGTACATCAGTGAAAAGTCAATGGCAACTCAGTTTTCAAAAGAATAAAAGATGGGTGGTGGTGATGGTGTGGGTAGGCCTTGCTCCTCACTGCAGTAAACCTGACCAGGGCTCTACCTTGCCAGAACATAGGACATAAGTTCCCACTACATGGCTTTATACCTAACCCCCCAAAGGTCTACAACCCTCTCAGCAGGGATTTAGGGTTGCCACATCAACAACATCATTTGCATAATAACAATGCCTCCTGGTTTGATAAAACTGATCATTAGAGATGGTGGAAAAATAGGCAGTTATTGAAATTGCTTTCAGAAATGTTTAAGTGTTTTTGAGATTAAGGAAAATCAGTCTTCGTTGTCTAAATTAATGTCTACCATCAAGATCACACTGGTAGCTAAGGGGGACAGATAACAGATATTAGTTCAAAATATACAAGAGAACTAACTTACAGGTAGGAAATTTATTCTCTTCATGGGATTTTCAAGGCTGCAATGAAATCGGAAAGTAAACAATAAGAATAAGGCATAAAAAAGAGGTAGGCATATCAGCAGAATACAGTGTTCTACCTATAGTTTGAGGAGTAGCCAAACATTCCCATTTTAGGCAAAATGGAAGAACAGATTTCACAAGTACCACAACACAGGGCTTCAAGCCCAAGGTCTTCTCTTAAAATACACACATTCTCTTAAGGCTCTGATATCAGAGGATAGGGCAAGGGCTAGGGTGAGACTCGAACAGATCACCAAATTACAGCTAAAATAAAAGAAGTTCTAAAAACTGCTGGCACAAATGACTTTTCTCAATAAGATACCAGACTGTTGCCCTGGCCGAGTTGCTCAATTGGTTGAAGTGTCCTCCTGTACACCAAGAAGTTTTCAAGTTCGATTCTCAGTCAAGGCACATACCTAGGTTTTGGGTTTGATCCCCAATTGGGGCGCATTCGGGAGGAAACTGATTGATATTTTTCTCTCACATCAATGTTTCTTTTTCTCTCCAAATATATCCTTGGGTGAGGATTTAAAAACAATAAACAACAACAACAACAAAACCCTGGCCAGTGCAGCTCAGTTGGTTGGGTGTCGTCGCATGCACTGAAAGGTTGCCGGTTTGATTCCCAGTCCTGGTAGGGGTGTACAGGAGGCAGCCAATTGATGTTGCACTCTCACATTGATGTTTATCTCTCTCCCCCTTTCCTTCCTCTCTCTAAAAAAATTCTTCAAATTAAATAAATAATAATTATTATAATGGTAAGACACAAGACTGTTTGTAGGATCCAGGAGTCTTACTATGAGATGGCTAAATCCAGAGCATGACAAATTTCATCAAAAAATTAAGAAAAGTTTTTTCTAAGCATAAACATTTAAAAGCAGTGAATACACACTTTTCTTTACTGTCCAAGGGTCCAGGAGAATCCAGACAGAAGCCTGTGGGAAATAAAAAATATATCTTAGGAAACAGTACACACAAACACCATTTTGTTATTAAAATAAGTAAAATTCCTAGTATGGTTTCTTTAGGCCAATCAACAAAGACTCACAGCTTGAACTTTATGCCAAAAATGAAATTGTGTCTCTAAATCTTAATATTTGCACAAGTCTTAATATTTCCACAGTATATCCACTAATCCCCTTTTCCTAGTTGCAAATAGGATTTGAGGGGAAAGTGAATTAATCCTATTATGATTTCTTGGTTATTCAAACAGAGATTACCCAGTTATTTTCTGTGAGTTCCAACCATAGAGAATATGTAGTACTAGTATTCTGGAATAGTTTTCTTTCTTTTTAAAAAATCCTCACCTGAGGACATTTTTCCATTTTTTGTTCAGATAGAACGGGAGGGAGAGAAACACTGACGTGAAAGGGACACATCGAGTGGCTGCCTTCCGCATGACCAACCAGGGCCAGGGACAAACTGCAACCGAGGTACGTGCCCTTAGCAGGAACTCAACCTGGGTCTCTGGACCACAGGCCGATGCTCTAACCGCTGAGCCAAACCGGCCAGGGCTGGAATAGTTTTGATCTGAAATATTTTATCTTGTCAGATCATACGCATAATTTGGGGTTTTGGGAAATACAATTATATCATATGACAAGTAAGGCAAGTCTTTATTGCCTTCAACAAAATAATACCAAGTGAGGTGCCAAAGGCAGCAGGGTGGCACCACTACTCAGCATGGCCCAGACCACCAGCCTGCCTAGCATACACCTTTCCTTCATGGTGTCTAGATGACCTGACACAAGTTAGATGTTCCTGACTGGTGTTCTCCCTTGCCACACTGCCACAGAAAGTTTCTAGGTGAAAGCGCACGTTTCAGCAAATTCCAAGTATTGTTCCCCACCCAAGACACATGATAAATGTTGAGAAGCAAAAGAATACCTGAATCGGTTGACTCGGAGGAGCCCATTCTCTGCAGACTGCTGTTTTTCACTTCCAGCGGCTGTTCATACTCACTGAAATCAAGAGAGAAATAATTCTACTTATTTCTAGGCCATAACTAAAAGGCAACTTACAGGAGACGGGCCATGAGGTTAGCAAGTTAGCCAGGCTGCCACCAACCATATCTCTAGACCACACCACAGAACACTTTGATACCCAGAACACACCAGTAGCTGGCATTTAGACATCAGAGATGGGAAAGGGGGGGAGGGGAGTATGGCCTGGGTCATACTGCAGGGCAGGATGACCACGTGAATGTTGGAGTATTTCCTGAAATGAGAGCATGTGTTCTATGTTGATCCTGTACCAAGAGCAGGAATGAAAAACGAACAGGACAAGTTCCTGCTTTTCAGAGGCTGGAAAACGTACAGGACATGTGCTTACTTAGAAAGTGAGATGTCCAAGATCGAAGGAAAAGCAGCTTCACCACAAACACTATGGGATGCATTTTATTTTATTTTCTTTGCTACGAGAAGCCCAGGGAATCCTGAGTATGGAAAGTTGAGCACAAAGGCCTGGCGTTACATCAGGAGTGTGCACGGAGCGACGTATCACCACGATTTTGCACAAACCCCGGGAGAGAAAACGCCGGGTCCTTTTGTTGAGAAGGAACAAAGCTCACAGGAAACATTGATCCTGCAGCAAAGGGTGAAGTGAGCGCCTCAAAGGGCCTTTCCCCAGTGGGGGTAGATTCCAAAAGCTTCCTGGGACTGGGACGGAAGAGTACAGGGCAGGGCAATCCGAAAAGGCTGGCGAAGGTGGGGGGCCCGGCCGCCCCCACACCTGGAGGGTGCGAACGGCCTCTCCCGCCCAACATTCCGCCGGGGGGGAGGGTGCACATGGCGAGCCCCCGCCAGACGAGGCCGCCCCCGAACGGTGGACAGGTCTGGCCCTTCTCCCGGCCCGATCACCTCGAGAACCATCTGGGGTCAGAGGCCTGCGGAACCCCCGTCTGTCGCTCCTTACCTGCCCAGCCCCTGCAGCTGATTCATGGTGACCGTCAGGTTGGTGACAGGCGACAGGCCCCCGGCGGCTGGAGCGCCGAAAAGCGCCTTCACGACGGGCGGCGGCGCAGAAGGGGGGCTGCAGGCGAAGAGCAGGCGGCGGCGGTGCTGGGGCTCCGGGCCCAGTTCCATGGCGGCGCCGGGTTTCCGAGGGCTGCCGCTCCCTCTTCCTCCGCTGCGCCCGCCCTGCTCCGTCGACACCGGCCTGGGCCGCTCGCCCCGCCGCCGGTGTCCGCGGGTCAAACACAAACACGACCCCGCGGTTCGGGGACGCTGCTGCCGCGGAAGAAGTGGCGCGGACGGGCGGGTGTCCGGACCCAGCAGGCGCCAGCCACACGCACGGGTGCTTCCCCCTCGACCCGCGAGGCCGGCGGGCGGGCGGGCGGGCGCCGGCAACCTGAAGATTAAATCCAAACAAACGCGGCTGGTCGTGAAGGGAGAGCGGCAGGGCCGGGAGGCCACAGCCCGGGCTCACGCTCTCTTCGCTTTTCTCTCACCCGCTTGCCCAGCCGGGGATCTCCAAGAGCCAAGGCGACCTCCACCTCCTTCCCGGGCTGTCGCTGCGAAGAAGGCCCTCCGCCGTAATAGCTGCTTACTAAGTACCGCCGCTGCCCCGCCCCCCTTTCCTAGTTGGCGCCAAACGGAACCCACCAATCACTAAGCAACTCTTCCCCCCAGCTCCCGAATGGCAGCTAGGCTGAACCATTAAGAGGGGGGGGAAAGGGACAGCTCGCGGGACTCTGCGAGGTCACCGGCTCACCGTAAGGGGCGGGGCCTAGGGGAGTCCGGATCTGATCCAAATAAGAGCGAGCTCAGAGGTCAATGAAAACTCCCAGCAGAACCTGCGAGGCGCGGGTCAGACCGAATGGCTGCTCTTGACCCGTTGCATGCTGGGGAGCGTAGTTCTCACCCCAAGCGGCTGTCCAGTCGCTCCCTGCCCGGGTCGGGCTACAGCTGCATCGCCCTCGCCTGGCGCCCCACACACTGAGGGAGTGTGGGGGCTGGAGAAGGCCTTCCGGGCCATTGAAGGCCAGACTGAGCCCAGCCTTGCAGTTCTGTGGGCCCCTCTCTTCCGCCCGAGCCTCCACGCCCCGAACTTATAACGAGGGAGGGAACGGAATGACCCACTGGCTGGGCGCTGCCCTCCGAACACCAGGGCCCAAATCCCGAGCGCTAACGCTCATCGCAAGCAGGCGGTTCGAGTCCCTGCGGCTGAGCTGACCACGAACTGCTGACCACAAGGCTTGAACCCTACCCCACGGCGTGGGCTGCAGGCCTCGGCATTCTTTGCTCACCTCCATTTTAGCTCTCACTATGTTTTCTGCGAATCATTTCCTTCTCTTCCACCCTTTCTTACCCGATTGGGAACTCCTAGATAGCAATACCGTATATATATTTTTTGGTGGTACGTGGCAGGAACTGAACCCGAGACTCTCTGGTCCGCAGGCCGACGCTCCAACCGCTGAGCCAAACCGGCCAGGGCGCAATACCATAAATTTCATAACGGCTGAATGTACTGCTTATGTGCCAGACACTCTTCCAAGTGCTTGATCTGTATTCTTTTTTTTCTTTTTAAAGGTTGACATATTGAGGGAGATTTTTATTATGTTTCAGACCATCTTCAGTTGTGAAGCTGAGCAAAAGGAAAAGCATAATTTAACCAAATCCTTTTTCCCATTCACTTAGGTATGCTCTCCAAAGTCCTAGAGCAGCAGGAGGGGATGGGAAGGGCCTTGCACTGTGAATTGGGAAGTTTGACTTACCTGATTCTGCTTTGGGGCAGGTCAGTTTGCTCATTCATTCAGTCTCTGCTGAGAGCCTACCAATTTGCTAGATCCGAACAGACCGGGTTAATACTTCCTTGGAACATACTGCAATGCCCTCTTCATGCCCATACCCACTTCACTCAGCTAAAACCCACCCTTCCCACAAAAGCTCCATGCTCAGACACTCTGATACATTACTGGGTTATTACCCACCTTTTGGCATCACACTTTTAATTTTGTTTCTGTGATTATTTAATCAGGGTGAGTCCACCCAAATGACTATAAATTCGAAAGGGTAGGGACCCTGACTTTCTCTTCTCTACTATAGTACCAACCAGTGCCTGCCTAGTTCAGGAGCCCTCTCAGTACATGTAGATTAAATACCTACTGCAAAGAAAAAGTGTGAATGCTTTGAGTGTTTAAGGAGAAAATCTGATCTGGTCTGGTATGTCAGGAATTCCTGAGGAAGAGTCCCGGATAAATCCTTAGGACTGGGAGGCTCTGAGGCTAGGAGTTCCCTGTGTGTGGCAGAGAGCAAGTGGGAGAAGAGGCGCTTGGGGAGGGCCCAGATGCTGCAGGGGCTTGTAGACCACGCTCTGGAACTGAGCTTTATCTCTCAGGGACAATGGGAAACAACGGAAAGGCTTATATTTACATTTGTAAAAGATAACCCTGACTCCAGAGTAGAGAGCAGCAATGGTAGAGCTGGGTGACCAGTTTGGAGGGCATGACAAGGTCATACTATAAGATGGTGGACTTGAACTAGGGAGGGGATGATGCAGAGGAGAAAAGTAGGCCTCACTTTCCACCTGTGAGTGGTGAGAGAGGTGGACTACAACTGTGCTTCTCAGTAAGGTACCCCAGCAGGGCTCCTGGCTCCTCCCTGCCACTCCTTGGCAACAAGAAAAACCTGGCTTTTAAATCTACATTATGTACTGAAGTGCCCTATATATTTTGTTTGGAGAAGGGATTTCCCTTGTTAAAAACAAAAGCAGCCCGGCTGGTGTGGCTCAGTAGATTGAGCATTGGTCCAGGGACTGAGGGGTCCTGGTTCAGGGCACCGGCCTGGGTTTCCGGCTCAATCCCCCAGTAGGGGGCGTGTGTGCAGGAGGTGGCCAATAAATGTTTCTCTCTCACGTCGATGTTTCTGTCTCTCCCTTCCTCTCTCCCTCAAAAATCAATAAAGACACATTTTTTAAAATAACCAAAAAAATTTAATTTTTAATTTTTCTATTAATTTATTAGATTTATTTTCTATAGAAAAAGGAAGTCCTGATTTAATGTTTTGATGTGCCTATTCTTTCAAAACAATGGCTGACGAGCTGAAGACTAAAAGCTTTTGGCTTAGGACACTAGTTCCTTACATTCCATCTACAGCTTCATCCTTTTTCCTCACAAGCACTTAAACTCCAACCATGGTCACCCCTCCCATCCAGAAGCCCCAGGCTATTTACCCCTCTCTCTGTGGTCATAGCTCCCAGGGTCTGTGATGCCCATCCCCACCCAGTCCACTATTTCAAATAGTTTCTCCATTAAACATCTGAAAATGTTTTTCCCTCTTCTTTTTATGGGTAGTCTAATGCTGGACTCAACATCCCTGTTCTTTCATGCATTCATTCAGAAAATGTTTGCTCACTGGGACAAACCCAGTGCTTGAAATAAAATCCCATAATTCCTACCCTTAGGGGCCTCACCTCTGCCAAATACTATCTCACAGAGCCTTCCGTATAACAATGATAATTGCTGTCTTTTGTGCAGGATGGTGGGATCTGGAGGAGGGAGGGTCAGGAGAAGGAGACTGGGAAGTCTGGAGGGGAGGGAGGGGGGCAATTTTCCAAAGGAGATTAAAGGCTTAGGTTGCTGGAAAAGAGGAATTCAGGGTGGGGTGAGGTAGGGTGCTTTGTAAAGAGAGGAAAGAGCCCAAGGAATCCAGGTAGTGAGAACAGCACTGTCTGGGAACTACTTTTGAGTCCTAGAACAGGCACCTGGGAGTGGTTGTGGGGGACTCAAGTGGGAGGAGGGGAACAGTTTTTGAAGGACTTAGAACTTCCTGAAGGGTCTGGCCTCAACCTTTAGTGGAGGGTGTGGAGAGTAGGTAGTAGTAGGATCAGAACTGCCTCAGGGTGAATTATGGGGGGGAATGGGGAACCCTGAGGAGGGAGCTATCCAGACAGTCCTGGTAGTGACTGAAAAGGGCCTTGAGGAGGACTTTGGGGTGCTGGTCACATTGTTTCTTGAGCTGGGTGCTTTACATGAATGTGTTCACCTTGTGGAAATTCAGTGAGCTATACAATCATGATTTGTCACTCTTCTGTATGAATGGTATATTTCAATGAAACGTTTGTTATTAATAATAAAATAACCTTCCCTTGCCCAGCGTGGCTCAGTGGTTGAGCATAGACCCATGCAACAGGTCACCGGTTCAATTCCCAGTCAGGGCAAATGCCCAGGTTGTGGGCCAAATCCCCAGTGGGGGGCATGCAGGAGGTGGCCAAGCGATGTTCTCTCTCATTGATGTTTCTCTCTCTCAAATCAATAAAGAAAAATAAAATTAATTAATTTTCAAAAACCTTCCCTTGACCCACTTTATCCTCCAGTTTTATTCCTTCCCTTCACAGTAAAACTCTAAAAAACTTATCTCTAATTTCTTTCCTCCCAATTTCTCTTTAAAAAAAAATTTTTTTTTCTTTATTTTTAGAGCAAGAGGAAGGGAGAGGGAGAGATAGAAACATGGATGAGCCCTGGCTGGTTTTTCCCAGCGGTTAGAGTGTCGGTTTGCGGACCAGAGAAGGGTGAAGGTAAAAGCTTGCAAAAGGTGGAAACTGTGAAAAATGCATTGCTAACATGACCTTTGCCCAGCCTTCTGTTAAGTACGGATCATTGGATTATCCGCAACGCAGTGAATCGCCCAGCAGATGCAGGATGTGATACCAGACCAGTCCAACTGCAAAGTGGACAATGGGCCAGGCAGAGTACGTCAGCAAGAACTGCTGGAAGCTAGAAGCAGAATATATAACCTACGCCCCAACTGTTATTCGAGGCTGACTACTTTTTCAGGTTCAGCCCTCCTGCACCCAGGTGCATGCAATGAAATTGTTTTGCTCTACATTGGCCTTGTGTTGTGGATGTGATGCTGGCTCAGACCTTTTATTTGGTGCCGAAACCCGGGAGGTCTGTGAGAATCCCACATAGGTGGCAACCGCGGACCCCTGGAGTGCTCCAGGCCTTCTTTTGGACCAGGATCCATCACATCCTCAGCGGGATACTGGACCTCCAACCTTTCCTGCCGATTGAGCATCAACACTGGACACTAATTTGCTGGTGAGCGTTTTCGCCAACCAGTCCGACTCTCTGGACTGTCCTGTTATCCTCAGTCTGGGACACAGAGAGCCAGGCGTATGCATTAAAATTGTTTTGCTCTACACTGGCCTTGCGTTGTGGATATGATCTCCCACCAGCTCAGGCCTTTTAGATACCATACTCCAGATTTTCCTCCTCTCTCCAGCTGCTCCTGTAGAGAGATCATGACGGAGATAGCCATTTGGCCCCTCAAGGGTGGGAACCAGGCATAGAAGGAGAACAGCTTTGGGCCTCCTGGATAAGCTCTTCTGGGGCACCACGGCCTCTGGTTCTCAGCAGAAGCATAGAGCCTGACTCATAGGGATAAGGAGAAAGTTTGTGGAGTGATTGAAGACTAAACATTTGAATGTTATCCTGAAGTCAGAGGCTTTAGAAGGGCCTCTGAGATGCCATCCTTTTTCCTCTTCTCCCACTCCCCTGTGGAAGCCAGAATGGATTTATGGCTTGGGGTGGGGAGCAGGTCCCTA